GGTTTTATAAGCTTTAAAGGTGAGCAAGAAAGGTCCCCAGTTTCATTTTAATCTGATTTCATTATGATCTGCGACAAGTAATAGTGAACTTCAAAATCTAAAGTCACACGAGTATATTTAAAAACTGCAGTATAACATATGATATGAGACCAAAAAAAAAAACACAAACTCGGGTCAAATTTGATAATTTACACTGAAGCAGAGAAATTTTTTATGTCATCCAGATTTTTAAGCCACCAAGGCTAACCAGACCCCCAATTATATAGTACGTTTTGTAGCTTAGCATAAGCCAAACTTGGCATTTGTTTATTGCATCAGGTTAATACTAGCCATATATTTATTGATCAACCATATTTTAGTGTGATCAGATTTTGATCTTGCTAAAATATATTCAATCATCAATTGTATTTGATAATAAACTCAATTACATAGACAAGCTATATAAAATATTTAAGTAATTTGTATAAAAGCAACCTTTTCTTTATTTAAAAAATTTATTTAAAAGATTTATTTAAAAAATTTATTTAAAGTTATATGTTGTATTAAAACACAAATAACCTTATATTACTTGCGAGTATGAAAAGGTAAGAAACAGTTTTGGTTGTTATTACAGCAAAGAGGCACTTCATATACTATACACCAATAATTACTTTTATATAAGCTTTTGTGATCCATCTCTATTTCATTTTCATGTGCTAGCCAAGTGCACCATTGGCATGCTTCTCGTGCATCTCTCCACTTCACAAAGTGGTTTCCGGGTACTAGGCGCTGGTCTGAAAGCTTAAAATTTTTTGTCACTTTTGGTCTTTTTATTTTTTTTTTTCTATATTCTCTAATTTTTTTAGACTATTTCTAAGTTGAACCTCACCAGTGTCATTTGCAAAGTTAATTAGATCTTATACAAGCCCGAGACAGAAATCTTTATGCTCTTGTTTTGAACCTAAAGTTCTAACAATTCGATATGCATTAACAATCGAAGTATCTAGCAGCCAAAAAAAAGTGGCATCCAATTTCGCTATATAACTTGCTGTGTACTGTAGTATGACTGTAGCTGATCTGCAACATCTACCCCATTCATATAATTATTATAGTCATCTATTATTTTTGGAATTTTAAATTTTTTTTTTAATTCTGACCCAAATACAGCACGCACTTTTACTGCATTTGTGTTTGTTTCTCTTGGCTGCCACCTAATTCATTTTATCTCCCATTCGTTACTAACTAACTTATAGATTGTTGACAACATAGTAACAGGCTCATTATCTTGTCAAATATAGCCAATACGCTGTTTACTACAACACCAAAGCGAATATTCCACTCAAGTTTGATATTTTTATTCTTTTGAAAAACCTGAGACAGTTTTTCAGACAGTTCCACAAGCACCAATACCAATTTGCCAAAGATGTTGAAAAAGTGGAACATTATTAAAATAGTTGTCCAGGTAAATATTAAAAGAAAATCGATTGTAGAGAAGTTGTTCAACAAGATGATAAACCTGACATCCAATTTGATTAAGGCCACTCACTCTTGTTACATCGTATAGGGAGATACGTGATGTTGGCAGAAAGGTGTAGATGTACTCGGACTCACAAAAAGAAAATATTTTGAAGCCTTCAAGAGTTGGTTTGTTTTTAATTCGAAAGGTATGAACACTTCTTCTAGAGAATCAAACAATTATCTCATCAATTGAAATGTTTGAATTTGGTACATAAAGCTGCTTTGAAACATCTCGAGCATGTGAGAGCAATGGCTCTAATTTATCAAAGTAATTTTTAATTGTTTCACCAGGAAGAAACATGCAAAAACTTCTTAATTATTTCAAAGCATTTTAATTTCATTTATTTTGAAATTTGATGAATAGAGTATTTTTCATCTTCATTCTAGTATTGGTCAAGTAAAGGTAACTTAAAAAGCCATTGGTAAATGACCAAGACAATCTATATGATAAGTTCTTTGTGGCTTAAGTCCAGCCACTGCCTACTAGCGATTCCAGCTCCTTTTACTAATATGTAAAAATTTGTACTTTCAACAATCATATCCAATATGGTTAGTTTAAAAAAAAGAAAAAAAAAATCAATTGGTTTGAAGGTAGCAATATCAAGGTGTGGTGAAAGATAAACAAACGTCTGGTGCAATGAAGGATGAACAAGGGGCTCAAAATTAGTGGGCGGTGGTGGCAATTTTGGCACTATAGTTGCTTTTGATTTATTTTTTTTTTGGCTGCACTTGTGTTTACTTCTAATACTTCACCTTCATCCTCATCGTCTGATTCTAGATTGTTCAAAAGATGCTGACGAAATGTCAAGGTTGGTATATATTCATCATCATCAGTGTATACATCTGAAGCTCCATGGGAAGATAAAAAAGACATGACAATTTTTTTTTTTTTTTTGAGAAAAAATTTACAAGGATTGTCTAAAAAATTGTTTAGAGAATTGTAAAAGAATTTTCTAAACTGCTAGCTAAATCACAGGTATAGTATTTTAATATAGTATTTTAACAATAGGTGAGTGATATTTATTGTAAGAATTGTACTTGAAAAAGAATTTGCATCAATAGGTGAGAAATATTTACTGTGAAAATTTCTTTGTGCTTAAAAAAAATTTGTATTAATGAAAATACATTGCATAGCATAAATAAGAATTTTGATCCAATTTGGGTATGATAAGAAGCAGATAACTTAAATTCAATTTTTATTTGTTTGTTTATGTTTGTATAACTGACACTAATAAAAAAAAAACTTAAATTTGTTTGTTTAAAATGCGAGGCATTATGAAATAAAACCAGGAAACGCTAAAGTAGTGTATTCATATGATATAAAATATCCACTAAAATTATTTAAATTTAAATTTAATATTAGTTAAGACTAGAAATAAGTAAGTATTATACATAAAGCAACCTTAATAACATTTTTTGTTAATAGCTTAAAGTAGGTTATGACTGCCATTTTTTATATTATTTAGTTTTTTCATTTTTTTTCTTCATCGGTTTGATTTAAATCCGCAGCATTAATTTATCGATTTACATAAATAGACATAGTCATACAAAACACCAAGCTCACGTGTGATTGACAATATATTATGCTTTAATTTGAGCTTAGAAAAGAGGGGTGTGTTTTATAAAAATCTAGAGCAATTATACAAAAATAGGCCAAAAAACATTTTAGCAGCCAAATATGGTTGCTAGACGGTTTAAGGGATAAGAATTGCTTGTTTACATGTCAGTGGTTAAAAAAATCTTGCTTGTGTTATTTATTAGTGTGTTTTTTAGAGTGGCTTTTAGTTGTAAGTACTGGTTTAACAAATCCTGCTTAACTGTACTGGCAGAGGAAATTGTTACATTATTATTTAATTTTCTAATTATATTAGCTAACTCCCAAAAACTTTCTGATTTAACGGTGGTAAAAGAAAGGCTATTCATTGTGATCTACTTACCAATGCTTGTCTCAGATCGTTTTCACCAAACAAGGAACAACTAAAAAGTTCCCAGAACTAATGGCCTCCACAATATTGATATGATGAACATTAATAATATGGCTACGTAGACTAGAAGTAGTACGTTTGCTTATGACGAGATATGTTTCTTTTTCAGTATATAAATGGCATTTGGTTTTTTTTTTACTATCTTTTATAATAAGTGATGCAAAGAAATGCCACACTGGACTTCCATCAGTTGGAATTTGTACACTTGTATTAGCAGAATAAGAAGTTATTGTTTGAAGTAGAACAACAGGTATTTGGTAAAAAAAATAAATTTAATTTGTTTATTCAAAGATGAAAATATTGTATTTAAGGTATGTAATTTTATTTGTTAAAAAGTTGATACTTTTTTTTTTCTATTTATATTTGTTCGTTTATTAATAATTACATAGTAAAAATTATGTATAATGATCATGCATAACTTTTTGTGCATAGCGATTATTATGCATATAACAATTTTTATGTGTATAATGATTATCACGCGCAAAACATTAATTACATAATAAAAATTATGCATAATGATTATGCATAACTCTTTTGCACATAGGGATTATTATACATATAATGATTATTATATATATAATAATTATTATACGTATAACGATCACTAATAATGATTATATAGCAACTTTGCTTAAAAAAATCACGCATAATGATCGTTTATAATAATCATACATATTGATCATGCATAATAATCACAATCATAAATGCATAGCAATTATAATTTGATATATGCTAATATGATACTATTATACTAGTAAAATTTTAATTATAACAAATAAGCTTTGTTATTTTTGTTTCATCAGGAAATTTTGAATATAGATAAGTAGCGATTACTATCAAATATTTGATAACTATTGATAATTCTTATCGATAGTTACTGGTATGGATGATTATTAACGATAATTACCATTATCGATTTAAATCATTAATTGTTAAATTTCAATAGTTAGCTCTTATCGATTGT